GTGGATTACTGGGGAACCAATGAGATGCTCCACAAGCAGAGTCGGAGGTAAAGAGACTCAGAGATGGAATGATTTGAGTCCTAGAATGTGCCAGGACCAGTTTACTTATGCTCACAAGATCTTGCACCTGGAACACAAACAAGAAGAAGACGAGAGAGAAGACAAAGAGGCATGTTGGGCTTTGACGTGAACAAAACTTGGCTGTTGTGGCACACCAGGATAATGAATCCTTATATTACATGAGTGGTGTTACATATTTCCAAATACAAGCAAATTTAAAGAATATACATAAAACATAACTTCTAACACAACCCCTCAAGTTGTACATCTTGTTTGAATATGTACAACTTGCTCCTTAGGTAATCATGCCCAGCCCTTGATAAACCTTTTGTAAATACATCCACGATTCTTCACCAACGAATTTTGCTTCAACCTCTTCAGCCTCTATATTTTTTTGGATAAAATGATAATCAATCTCAATATTTTTTGTTCTATCAATAAATATTGGGTTTTCAGCAATTGCTAAAGCACTTCCATTTTTAGCACTTTTATTGTTGCAGCATTTGCTAAAGCACATTTATTTGGATTCCATAGAATTAAGTAATGCTGCAACTGTATTCTCAGTGTTTGCCAAGGCAGTAATTTGATTTCCTCCTTGCTTAATTTCGTTTTCATTCTTGTATCTGTCGAAATGGTTGTGGGCTAGAAGCCGCCCTCTTCCACATAATTCACAGATGACTCTATTTCCATTTCCATTAGGAGTAGGTAAGAGACCTCGACCAGCAACATAGAAGTTTCTGCCACAATGCCCATTTCTGCCACCTCGACCCCCACGACCTTTGTTATTTCCACAAAAATTATTGGAATTGTGTGCAGTATTCTTCATGTTAGTAACAAAGACATCGTGGGTCTCATTACTGGGAGACGAGTTTTGTGCCTCTTTCCGAAAGAACAATGACTCATGTTATAACAACATGGGTCGAAGGTTGGCAGTAGAAGGGAAATAGTCCCTTGACATCAAGGACGTGACAGAAGGTCTATAGTCTTCACCCAGTCGTTGTGCATGTTGCACCTTGTCTCTATCTTCAACTAGCTGCTAAATAATTGCGAGTTGATTGCATATTCCCTTTATCTTGTTATAAAATTCAGATACTAACATCTTCCCCGTCTTACAATCTTGAAGTTCAGATTTTAATTGCATAACACGATTCCTGAGAGTAGGATTCACTGACAGCCGTCTAGATTCACTACTTGAGCCAAAATTGCTTCAGACAAGGTTGAATTAATCTAGCCAATAAGATATTGATCTTTAATCTTCATAGGTTAGATTGACAACTGTATTGGTCTCCTTTCATCTGTGTGTTTTCTTGAACAATGTATTTTGGTGGTGGCCTAGTGGATCCATCCAAATGGCCATAGAGTCATTGACCTTTGATGAAGGGAACAACAGTTCCTCTCCAGACAATAAAATTATCAAATTTAAGTTTGACGGAGACATATTGAGGATTTGGGAATGAAGAGGAATTAGAACTCGATGATTGTGCCATCAAGAGGAAAATGGGCTCGAAGTATAATCGCACCAAATCTGGAAAGGGACAAAGAGGAGTTCTATAGAGAATAAGAGAATCTAGAGATAAAAGTATAGAAGGGGGTCAGCAGGAGAACAAGAAATAGAACAGGAGAGAGAAAAGCAGTTAGACTTTTGGACTAGATTTCAAGAACTGAAAAGGAGAATAGCAAGAGCAGTATTATAGATTTCAAGCAAGATATAGGGTTTTATATTGAATATAGGGAGAATCAAGAGTTTTGTGGGTGATATACGAGGCTTTGAAGGAAAGAACAACAGTGTGAACAGTAGCATGAAGAATGTCACGAATAGTAATGAATAGTGACATGAACAATAGCTTGATACAGTAGGTGACCCTAACATGGAGGAAATATGAGATAGAAAGATTAGGGTTTAGGAGGAAAGGATGAGAATGATGAAAGAGGGTAAAGATGAAGAAAGGGATTTCGGTTTAGAAGAGAAAGAGACAATGAATCTTCAAGAAGTAGGTTACCTCGATTAGAGTTGATCATGCTTAGAGTGTATTACTATATTCAAATATGGTCTGATACCATGTTAACTTTACTTATGCTGACAAGATCTTGCACCTGTAACACAAACAAGAGGAACACATGAGAAAGAAGACAGAGGCACATTGGGCTTTGGCATGAACAAAACTGGGCTGTTGTGGCACACCCAAGATAATGAATCCTTATATTAAATGAGTGATGTTATATTAGGGCTATCGCTTTACCTAAATGCCCTTTGACAAATACAAGCAAATTTAAAGAACTACATAAAAGACGACTTCTAACAGGACCGTGGCAATGAGGTTCCGTTACAGTTTTCATCCTAAATCCATGCCAAAAACTTTTCTCAAGAGATCAAACACCTGTCTTCAATGAGTAAGGCTGTAAGACAATCAAGGAAGCACTTGACGGAAACCTTTTTCCGATAAACAAACGAATTTATGTTACGAAGAATTCAAACCTTAACGTGTTTGCAAATATACTTTACTAAAGGAAGAATATCCTTTTCCAAAAGGATTTTTCAATCAACTAAAACTCTTATTTTTGTGGGAGGCACTTCAATGATATAAGATAATGAACCGATTATTTAAGTTTCCAAATCTAATAGAAAGTCATGGTAAGCGGTGGTATTATGCTACCAACTACCAAAACTAAAGTCCAAAAGCTCAAATGAAGCAGAATGGAAGCATCATGAAGATATTTTTGGATTTAAGGACGAGTTATTTTCAACTAAGGGAGACTGATGTAGATCAGGTTAAGAGTAATTTGGTTTTTGGTTTCAAAGGGATTTTAAGGGTAGCACAGGGAATATTTAAAAATTAATAAAGAAACTAGGAAGAGGATAATAGTGTTTTTTATCAAGAATAAATATTTGATAAGTTCCAGTGAATTCTATAAACAAGTTAGTCAAGGTTTTGAGGGTTTTTAGGTGACTTTTGGTCTTCCAATGTATGAGGACCTAGTGAGGGGACTCTACATCCCATCTATTTAGGGTCAGCTACACGAACCTTATTATGTCGTTTTGTTCTATCAAAGTATACCCTCATTCAGACCATAAGTTACCATATATTTTCTCTCAACTTCCATCCATGTCCATTCAGGCCTTCCCCTTGCCCTATTAGAGCCTTCAACTTGCAACAAATCGTTCCTCCTAACTGGTGGTGTTCTAGGTCAACACGAAAACCACTTAAGTCTACTTTCCCCCATCTTATCGCTTATTGGAGCCATCTTAAGTTCCCTCGGATGCATTCATTCCAAATTCTATCTTTTCTTGTCTTGTCACTCATTCATCTCAACATCTACATCTCAGCTGCGCTTATTCTATGGATATGTTATTCTTGACCACACAACATTATGTCCTATAAAGTATGGGTGGTCTTCCAGTTGCCATATAGAATTCCCCTTCAGTTTCATTAGTAATGCGACGATCATATAATACTCCAGAAGCACATCTCAACTTCATCTACCCTGCCTAATTCCATGAGCGTCATCTTCTTCAATATCTCCATTCTCATGGATTATCAACCTAAGATATCGAAAATAATACCATTTAGATACTTTTTGGCCATAATCTTAACTAACTCCTCATTTCTACTCCTATTATTACTAAACTTGCATTCCATATATCTTGTCTTAGTCCGGGTAATTTTGAAACCTTTAAATTCTAGAGCATCCCTTCAAAGCTCTAACTTTGCGTTAACGTGGTTTCAAATTTTATCAATTAAAGTTATGTCATCTGCAAACAACACACACCACGCTAGCTCATCCTGTAGATGCCTAGCTAACTCCTCTATAACTAAAACAAAGAGATATGGGCTCAACGTTGACCCCTGATGCGGGCCTATTGTCATTGAAAACTCACTTGTCTCTCCACTAATTGTCCTCACACTAGTTAGCGCTCCCTCGTACATATCTCTCACCCATGGAATTATCCTTTATAAATTCTTTTTTTTTCCCCCAACACCCACCAAATTAGTTCTCTCTAAACTCAAAATTGGAGTTCATATGAGGTTTTCTATATTAGCTGAAAGTAAAACACCTAATTTTGAATCTAATTAACAAGATAGCCAATTAGGTTGGTTCTTATTGGTTGCCTTCTCTCTTACTGGTTTACATTAGGTTGGTTCTTATTGCTTGTCTTCTCTCTTATTGGTTTACATAAGTTATGTCGGTGAAAATTAGAGTTTCTCGAGAAACCCAAGGAGCCATTTCATTCTCATGATCATCAACATCAGAAGAGGTTTTCCCAACTATTTGGGGTTGGCTGCATGAATCCAGGTCTGTCATTCTGCCCTATCAAGGACCATATCCTAAGTGAGGCCATAAGTCCTCATATCTTTTCTCACTACTTCCAACCATGTCCTTTTGGGCCTATCCCTTGTCATTTTTTAGCCTTCTACTTGAACCAACTCGCACCTCCTAACAGGTGTTGTACTAGATCTGCGCTACACCTAGCCAACCCACCTAAGTCTACTTTCTCTCATCTTGTCACATATTGGTGCCTCATCTAAGTTCTCCCTAATGTACCTATCCCTTCTTGTCTTGCCACTCATCCATCTCAACATCATCATCCCAACTACACTCATCCTATGGGCATGTTGTTTCTTGACCGCCCAACATTCTGCCCCACAAAGGAGAGTCATTTCATTCTACTTCTTGTATAAAGGTGAGGTGTGCAAGATATCTAGTATTTGATGAGAGAAGTAAGTTGGAACTTCTATTTTCAGAAAAAGTCAATTGGAAGAACCGAAGCTCACTCTCATATCCTACCAAATATGCTCAAGGGATATACATAAAGCTACATAATCTCTCAATATCTTTGCCAATTGCATTTTGAATGCTCGAGGGGAATCCATTCCTCAATCATTGTTCAAGAAATGGTTTTGGATTTCAATATAAAGATCATTGGAGGGGAAGAAAAGTACCTCAACCAGTGCAAGGGTGTTTAAATTAGGAGATAATGTTGGTTTCACTCCTTTTGCAGCAAGAACCTCCTCAGGTGTCCTAAATAGGAAAGCATTTACTAATCATCAGTCTGTTCGCAGTTCATGTAATTATTTGAGAAAATTATATGTAAAGATGCAAGGCTCAACTATACTGTATTGGGTTGGTAAAAGTTCCACTATCGTTATGAGAGAACATATGCTAAAATTTTGTCTAAAATAAACAATAAATATATCAAAGAATGACGGATGCTTGACAGCAAGTATCTCCATTCAAACATTTACTGCCATTACCTTGCTAAAACTGGCCTCGGTGTAAATCTATCGCTTGGATCGCTACAAAAGATTCAAAGATATGGTATAGTCAAAAGTTCTTCAATCAGCGTGCAAAGCCAAACCAACTGGGAGAATAAGTTTCAAACCATCTAGTAACCATTTCTAATTTAGAACCGAAAAAACTCTTCAAAGCATCTAGTAACTATTTCTAATTTAGAACCAAAAAGTTTTTCCTGCTACCTCTGTACACATATGACAGCTTCCACCATGTTTGACTTAAGCATTTCAATTGCAATGGTTGTCACAATTCCTGTCCACTGAGCGCCTAATTTGATACACAGGAAGAAAACTTATATGCTGAACAGGAAAGTATTAATTACAAGTTAATGGAAATAGGAATATTTAAAAAGGAAAATTTTGGAAACAAAAGTTGCATATTGATCTCCCTGTTTAATCGATGCTTGAAGACTTGCCTGCATATTCAGAAGATGGAATGATTGATAATATATCAAGTTATAATAACTAACCAAGACTTTTTCTAAATCAAATAACATCTAGTATAATTACTTTTTCCTGACTACTTGAGTAAAATCAGATTGCTTGTTTTGAATAAACTAGGAATTAAAATACATGGATCTTCAGTTTTAAGTATTGTGTTTGCCTAGGGCAATAGTCAACTTTAGTACCAAGAGTACTGAGACATGCCTACACATGCACCAAAGCTATTCATGACATCATATAGGTCATTACCGGATACTACCTTGAGATCTTAGTTAACAGGTATACTCATAATAAGGACTTTAACCCTTGTTTTCAATAATGAGATTCTGCCACTCAAATTTAGCTTCTGCCTCATTTATAGGTTTCATTTGAACCACTTCCTGTCAATAAACTATCGAACATCAAAGTTGAAACCATCGGGTCTCCATGATGAATGAATAGCATTTCTCAAATTTAATAAGTACCAAGAGTTGAGGAAAAATAATGTCCAGCATGAAGAACAAAGCAAACTTTCATTCACAATTGCAACAAAATACTTGTAGGTGATTATTCCATAATCCATCTTAAAGGGAGTTATGTGCTATGCATTTAATTTCTGGACTACCAATGATATTTTGTACATGTCAAACTGTATCAGAGAGTCATAAATTGCAATGACATGTCAGATTGGAATTTAAGAGATTGTTACGAGCATTCAATAATCTTTTTCTACTATGGCCAGATATTTGTGCATGTGTCACAAAAATGAAAGATGTGTTTTAGAATTTATTTAATAATTTGTTGCAGCCTGTCTTATCCTGACACTCCACATGGGCCTTGGTATCACATGTCGAAATGGTTAGACATTGCTTGCATGTGTTGGCTGATCTCACTAATTTTGAGTACCGTATTGGCACTTGTTACGAAAGTGTCTTCCATTTTCTGGGTGTGGTTTCCATAAGGTTGCAACCTTAAACAATCCAACTAAAGTGCACCTTCAAATTTTATCATAATATATAATTTTTATGTAAAATGTTTTTAGGATTACCTCAAATCTATTTTTATATCTAATTATAACATTTTAAATTCCAAAAATGGTTAAAATCAAGTAGATCTATAAACATATGAAAATTTTGAAAATGGACGGTGTAGATAATATGTTGTAAGATGCACTATTTCTGAACTCAAAATCTTTTTATTTTTCATAGTCATACATCTCGATGTCGAGATGATCAATCATAGGGTTTTTCAACATTAAAACAACCTTTTTTGATGGATTTTTGAGGTGCATCCGTAGTTCTCCATTTTAAGGTTGCAACCTTATATAAACCTTTTCCTTTATCATCATCAACATCAAAGTGCCCAAGTGGTAGTGTGGAGTCACACAGTAGAGAGGTACTGAGTTTGAGCTACACCTAGTCCAAAACTTAGGTACACATTTAGCACCACAACCATTTTAAGGTTGAAGAGGGGTTCAATCCCATGACCTTTTGTTAAGGTAACGTTGCCACTACCATCAAGTATGCAAATATATTTTGTGTAAATGTTTGTGTAAATATACTTCTTTTACAAGGGAAGAAGTTAGACATAGAAATAATGCGCGACCATGGATTTGAATTCTGGATGTCTCTCTCTCTCCATCTACTAAAAAGACACGGGCTATTATCTATGTCACTTATGGCATTGTATTAATTTTTTGGAATTATTACATATAAAATACTTAAATTTTAATATAATGCATGAAAGTGTCAAGAAGTACTGACTTTTTTACGCTCATACTAGACAATCTAGACATGTACAGACACTGATATGCGTGTCAGTATCTATGTAACAGTAGCTGCAGATGATAGCACAGACAGGAAGCCATACAAAACTTACCACTGTCATTCTTAAGAAAAAAAGCATATAGCTTGAAACCAAAGCTACGTTGTCATGAAACTATAAAAGCTCTTAGCATGATCCTAGCAAATACCGATTCATATCCTGAGAGAGAAGCACTAAGTTAAAGCCATTATCAAATTTTCTTTCTAAGCTACAGAACTTAAGAAGGTTATATGTGCAAAAAAGCAAGAGATCCACTGTTCAAGTATAATATGACAGTGAAGAAAACATATGGGAAGAAGAGGAGAAAAATAATAATATAAAAATTTGAGAGACTGGAAAATTATGAACTTACGTATTGCCACTTCCAGAGCACGACCTAAGAAAGAAACACTACGTAATATTTTTTCTGATCAAGCAAAGCAACAATAATTAATAGATCTAACCACAGCGAAAGAAATTGGAAAGCAGAAGCTTACAAATCAACCATACACATTTTGCCTCTTTTCACCACAAAGATACTACTATTTTTCCCTTCTTCACATCAATGTAAAGAGCTTTAAAGAAAAATACTCCTCAGCAACATGGTTCACCACCAACAGTAGCCAATTCAAACAAATAACCAGTAGACTGGACAATTATATAACTCAAACATCTTAAACAAGGGGTACTCAGACAATAATACATATGATACTGTAATGAAATCATATGTCCTAGAAAGAATTTGGACATCATGCTAGTGAAGTAAGGAATACCTTCTATAGGCGTAGTCTTTCGTGCATACAAAAGCTCTTCATGAACTCCAAAATACATCTCCTCCGATGAACCCTCTTTTCTTCCCCTTCCATGGACATTAGGTTCCAATGCCTAAAAGAAGTAAGATAGGGAAAAAAGTAGAAAGAGCAAAGAAAGATACATGCTGTATCAAAAAGCGGTTTATAATGAAAGCAAACAATAGTCTACACCTAGTTCAACTGTGGTTTCATTCTACTTGAACTAGTTCCACTTCCATAAATAGTAACAAGTTGGGTCCCAAATTATACACCACAAACATATGGCTAGAATACCATGTACAAAGTAAACCAAGATTTTCAAACAATTCACATAGAAAGCCCCCAGAACTTCAACTATGTACATGCAGGATCCATTGGGAAAACAGTGTGCCAATTCAAACAAGATGCCACAATCAAATTGCCAATTGATTCATTTCCTCAAATGAAATATCCCAATCTTGATTTATTATCTATCTAACCTGCAAACCATCTGGAAATGACAATATGTATAATTTTGAGAATCCCTTTACAATTTAAATATGCTTTTATTAATGTTTGAAAGAAAGTATGCTTCAATCCTCATCATGAATGTGGATAGTTTTGCAGGGTTTCAGGACTCAGCCGAGTCAAAGTGGAATCAGCCGAGCAACCCGGTCCCAGCCTATGGCTAAGGCGAGCTCCAGGGGCCAACTCGGACCTTGTTTAAAATGGCCAAAAATATATTTTTTGTTAAAAAATATTAATTAAATGATTTAGGAAGACATTTTTAGATCATTTATTGGTTTTTATGATGATTTGGGAAGTTTTCTCTCAACACACTCCAATTTTTATTTTTCATTTTTACAATTTTTCTGAATATTTCAAGGTATAAAACAAAAATTTCAATAATCCACCTTTTATGCGTTTATTTTTACTTTTATGGACTTCCAATGAACTAAATTACTTATTCTATTTTTCCCTAATTTTTAATATTTTAACAGATTGTTACATTTTTTCACGTATTTTTTTGTTGTATACTACTCGGCAGAGTCCACTTGGACTCAGCCGAGTTACTTGGCTCCAGCAAGGGCCAAGTCCGTGGCCCAAGCCAAGTTTACATTGGTTTTGCAGAACAATGACCACACCATAAATTTGGAATTTGGATAAACCACGAAGGAGCGTAATTATGAAAAAAAGAAAAACATAACACAAGCATGAAGTAGACAGGGATACATGATTTTAACACAGACCTAATGCATTGAGACTCTGTCTACAAGAGATTTGGACCCAGCAAGGAATTTTCAGGAATAGGATAACAATGTAATTAATAGTTTATATATATATATGACAACAATGTAAGCAATAGTTTCAATTATAGAGAAAAGAAAAATATGTCTTCTAAAAGAGAAGAATTTTTTTAATCCATATTCATAAAGAGCAGGACAATGAAGAAAAAGGCTTACATAGATAAACCAATTTCCACAGAGAGAGAGAAAGAGAGAGAGAACCTCAATTCGTGACATGCCATCCCCCAGGAAGGCACACGCATCCTTCACATGAGCAATATAATACGTATCGCACAAGCCACAGCGACTGCAAAGGCATTCACAAAGTTTAACTACAGTAGAACTCCATTGAAGAACAGTCAAGACCAGAGGGACTCGGAAAACCTGCAGTGGTCTTTGGCTGGATAAACACCACCAGGAGGAATCGGCTTCGATCTTTCCCTCCAATCCTCCCTCATTTTCTTACCACTTTCTTTGCCTCCCTCTGTAAAAACAGAGCCACAAGCTTCAATCATCTCAGACATTCAAAAGATGGTGTAAGAAACGGAAGCGTCCATCAGAGTATAATTCAAATGATAGAGAGAGAGTAACAGCGAGTAAATACGTTGAGAAGATGCAGATATGGATGAGAGAGAAAGCCTGCTGGGTATTGTATGGAAGGCTGCCGCCAAAGCCATGCTGAGGAGAGAGAGAGAGGCCGCCACCACAAATGACAAATGCGAGAAGATCAGTTGGGAGTAACTTCGAACTTTAAAAGTTGGGAACTCCGATTTATTTATTTTTTTAGTTTATTTTATTTATTTATTTATTTTTATTTTATTTTTATTTTTATTTTTTTTAGGCCAAGTTTACCCGATTTTTTAATCCTCATACCGCTTCGTAATATAAGCGGATGTTACTCGGAAGGATGGGAAACCCTTCTTCTTCTTCTATTATGATTTTTATTTTTTATTTTTTTTTATTTTTTTGTTTTTATTTTTTTTTTGCCATGTTTGCTATTGGTCCAATTTTTGAATCCTCAGATCATTTGGTAAATATCATTACTTATTTCAAAGGGATCAGATGTTTGTAAAATTTTTGGACCGTTAGAATTTTTGTTTTTGCCATTTTTGAAGTGATAGGGCTTAAATAGCGCTTAGTCTGAAATTTTTAACCCCTCGGTCTCTCCTAGCTCTCTCTCTCTTTATATCTTTTTCTCTCTCTACTCTCACTCTAATATCTCTCTCGTTCTTTGGCATCTCCTCTCAGTTCACTCTCTCTTAGCCTGCTATCTATTTGAACCTTGATTTTTCATTTTGCCTAAATTTCTAGAGTTTTGTGCTAGATTTTGTATTTCGAAATAGCAAAAAGACGTTGAAGTTGGGCGGGCTAAACAGATTTTTTTTTGGTCCATAAAATGATTTTAAATTCCATGTGTCAATTTCTATAAATATTGGAAAACTAGAGCTCTAAGGTTTCTTATTTGTGTTTCCTTAATCTTTATATTGAATATGAGATTTGTATATTTATTACTAGTAGACTATATTAAGTATAAGTAACTACAATTTCATATCCTTCATGCTGATGCTAAAATTTACTGTACTTAATTTTGCTTATGATATTTGGATTATGTTTTATGAAGTAATTGAATCAATGTCATGTTTCTTCAGTTTATTGACATTGGGATGGTCTATGTATGGATTTGTGTGCAAATTGTAATAACAATAAATGGGAAAGGTTTCTATGCTTCCCCTGCAAAATAGAAGTTCTATCCTCACCCTACCATCCAGCCGTTCAATTTTGATTAAGAGAGCCGCTCATTGTTTGATCTTAGATTCGACGTCTCAAAGTATTTTATTTTTCGTTTGTTTTATACAAATTGTATGAATATGAAATTTGGTACGTGGCATCTTCTCATTGGGATACACTTATAAAAAATATTTAAAATAATTGTTCGATAAAATATAATGACCAAAATACCCCTTAAATCTTTTAGGGGTATTTTGGTCATTTTATTTATTGAAAATATTTTTTTAATATTTTTTGCTAGTGCAAGTCTAATAGAGGAATGGATGTCCAAAATTTGGTGTCAAAATAGTTTATTAAAAAAATTAAAAATAAAATAATATAGAGACGGGACACTGTGATTGGGACAATCTTAGCCCTCCATTCAGAATGGACGGTTGGATAAGGGGGAGGATAGAACTTCTATACAGTAGGAGAAGCATAAAAAGCTGGTCCATAATAAATGGCATATTGGATTTATCTATAATATCACTTTTACACCTTGTCATTTATTCGTATCTTGTGAAATAGTAAACATTCCTTTCAACAATTTATCTTAATGAATAATTGTAAATGTAGTTAATATAGGTTTATACTTAGAATTTTGGCTTTAGGGTGTCTTTTACTAGGGCTATCTTACAGTAACTCTAGAAAGCTGTCACTGGGATCATCACAATGGTTATAGGTAGAGTGAGCTTGTTATATCGTTATGGTGGTTCCTTTGAGAGAAGTTTAAATGATGGAGAAATATACTACAAGGGCGGGAATGTGAAAGCTACATTGTATAAGGGAAGTCACTTATTGGAGCAATTAAAGACACATATGTGGTCTATTGCACGTTGTGACCCTAACAATTTGACAATTATATATCTAGAAAATAATATTTTAATAGAACTAAACAAAGATGCAGATATGATATCCATGTTGTTTGTGGCTTCCAATATTTAGGTATGTGTTATGAACCAACAATCCGAAGCAACACATAGGGATCATCAACCAAATGTAGCAAACGTAGTTCCATTATGTGGTCTATCAACAAAGACCAGGTAATACTTATGACATGTATGTTCATCATATACTTATTATTTGTAGTTAATACTTATTGGATCTTTTGGACATCCCTTTTCAACCACCCCATTCAACCAGTGCCCGTCCCAATCGTTCAATGTAGTACATGCATGTGATGAGCACTCCAAGAGTGCGATAAACATCTGACCTGATTCCAGCATATGTTCTTGTGCTTTCATCCTTATCTCACATGAGATTCCAGCATATCTTCTTGTGTTTTCATGAGAATGAGGACAAAGATACTTGGGTATAGTTTCTTAATTGCTTGTAAGAATTGCTCAATACACGGCAAGACTGGTCTTGTTCAACGGTTATTTCAGATTGACAAAAAGGGCAATTACAAGCACTACAATACATCTTCCTAAATTGTTATCAATGGTTTTGCATGCATCATTTGATAAAAAAACTTGCAGAGGTGATTTACGAGCACTACTGATGATCTTATAGAAGGCAACTCGTGCACTAAGGGTAGAAGACCAAAGTTGAGTATAACCTCCTTGTAACAAAGATAAATGACCTTTGTATGATTTTCTTCTACTTTAAGTGACTTTAATCGTGCAACAGTACTAATTGTGTTCAAGTAACTTTAAGTGTACAATATTAGTGCATGTTTGTGTGATGATATTATTATTGCACTTCTTGCTTATGCTGTAGGGCAAGGTAATTATATCTTTATGGGTCCCTTGCAAACTTGGGAAATGTACTCAACTTTAACATCACAGAGGAATGGAATGAGAGAATAGAATCATTGCTGACACGTAAATGAACACAATTTATGAAGTTTTTCAAAGAAAGACCTATGTAACCTTATGCAGGGGAACTAAATTTTTTTTTTTTTTTTAAGAATAATCAGCCTTTATAATTTTGGCGACAAGATCACTCACATGTGGTCTTATTACAAACAATAGAAATTCCAAAAATAAATAACACATCAATAAAATAAATCTCAACTACTTGATGCCATTCATACAACCTAATACTGTGCTTGAGAATATAAAATAAAAGAACAAACAATTAAAAAAAAAAAGATGTCGGAGATTACCTCAACCGGGCTTTTTACACCCCACACCGAGTCACCATATCTAATGGCGCGAGATCAACGGTCTAGCTTCAATCTCGAACTAGGAAAGCTAATTTCGGCCAAACTAGGCACCCTTAAATATCTACAAAACCCTAACTCCAAAATAATTAGGCTCAAACCCTAATTTTATCAACCCTTAGATTAGATCATGAGAGAGAGAGAGAGTCTCTATGTTGAGCGTGCCCCCTAAGGTCCTTTTTAGGAGAGAGAGAGGAAACAAGAGAGTATGTAGAGAGCGGGGTGTGGCCCCTAGGGAAAATAGAGAGAGAGTTTGAGGAGAGAGAGGTGTATTGAGATGGGGGAGAGCACCCCTATGTATAGTGAAATTTAGGTCTAGGGTTTCTATAGTTTGCCTCTTTTTTGAAATTGAATATGGACCGTTGATCAAGGTAACTTGTGGGGTGAGAGA